ACACACAGCACACCAGACACACACAACACACCAGACACACACACACAACACACCAGACACACACAACACACTAGACACACACAACACACCAGACACACACAACACACCAGACACACAACACACAAGACACACACAACACACCAGACACACACAACACACCAGACACACACAACACACCAGACACACACAACACACCAGACACACACACAACAACACACACACAACACACCAGACACACACAACAACACACTAGACACACACACACAACAACACACACACACAACAACACACTAGACACACTAGACACACACACAACAACACACTAGACACACACACAACAACACACTAGACACACACACAACAACACACTAGACACACACACACAAATCACACCAGACACACACAACAACACACCAGACACACACAAAACACACCACACAACAACACACCTGACACAAAACACACACACAACAACAACACACCACACAACAACACACCTGACACACACAACAATAACACACCACACAACAACACACCAGACACACACAACAACCCACCAGACACACCACACAACAACACACCAGACACACACAACAACCCACCACACAACAACACACCAGACACACACAACAACACACCAGACACACACAACAACACACCACACAACAACACACCAGACACACACAACAACACACCAGACACACACAACAACACACGACACAACAACCCACCTGCTGCACGACCTGTGCCCAGCGAGTCCCCTCCTGCCCACTGTTGGTGGCCAGTGCCATGGCGATGGCGGGCGGGGGCTTGGCACGGAATGAGGTACACGCCAGCAGCACTGTGTGGTGGGCCTGCAGCGCGCGCATGCGCAGGTTGATGTACGCGCTGGCGAAGTCCAGGGGGGTCGTCGGGGAGCTGGCAGCCTGGAGGGGATACGGCAATGATACAGGATCTTTGTTGTTTAGTTTTAGTAAGTGTTTTACGGCACTTGCAACACAATAAGGTCACATAAGTGCCGAAGATAAGAGGTGTTACACGACAGTAACAAACATAAAAAAGAAGGAGGGGAGATAACGACAATAGATGTTTGATAGGAAAGAAGGAGGAGAGATAAGGACAATAGATGTTTGATAGGAAAGAAGGAGGAGAGATAAGGACAATAGATGTTTGATAGGAAAGAAGGAGGAGAGATAAGGACAATA